CAACGGCCACATAATGTAGAGTGTTATCTAGTTAGTGATCATTTTCAACGTTGCTTACCTTCGGTGATCGTTTGAGAACCGGTGGATATGAGGCAGTAAGACGTGATATTTATGAGGGTAAGGACGACTGATAATTTACTCTAGATATGAGGTGGTGAATAATATAGTGTTCAGGAAAGCATCCACGCGGGTGTCCTCGAGTAGCGCTTCTTAAGAAAAAACTGAGTCTGGCTTTCTCCTTTAAATGGAATACGGGGGAAATTGTAGTGACTCTACTCTGCAGACGTAGTATGGTCTAAAGATCTTAGTTGGCAGGAATAAAGATTGGAATACATCTTAAGATTTGCCGTAGAAATAGTAATATAGTGGCAATAGAATTGTGACATTGCGCCTCGGGAGAAGAGGCTGTAGGATGGAAAATAATCAGTCGCTCAAAAAGCCGAGTATACAAACTTGAACTATAACGATTGGGCAGCTATATCCCAGATATAACAGCAATATTTCATTTTTGGTCTAATCTGATTCTTGAGCCGATCATTTTTCTATTTTTAGAGATGGATTGTGTATATCATTTCCATTTGAAATCTCGAGAGAACTTGGATATCAGTAGTCATTCAAAGTAAGAATTCTTTCTAGAAATCCAACTGTTCATCATGACAGGAGAAATTTCAGACTTTACCCAGTGATGGCGAAACGACATGAACTTAATTATTAAGGTATCGAAAGTTACAAGCCAGTCTCTCCCCATTGAGCATTTAGAGCTAGATCAGAGAAGAGATCAGCTGCCAGGTTCTGATCATTTAGATATTTTGCGGTATTCCCATAAACAATCTTATCACCTACATTCCGATAGATAAATTAATTCAATAAACACACAAGTATATAAAGGAGCATGACGAAAGGAGGTGCCTTTTTACCAGACTTATTCAAACTTTACAGTCCTATCTAGATTGTAGAAACTGGTATTATTTTTGGCGCAATCATAACAAAATAAGATATGCATGTGACAGTATTGATAGCAGACACAGAAAGGAAACTGCAGAAATTCACACAGAAGATAACGAAGGAAAAATAAAAGAAAGGTGTAAACATCAATAGTGTAGTTGTTATCTAACGGAACAGTACCAAATTCTAACTACGAATTGGAAATATCAAAATCAAGCGAGTAAGAAAATTTAATTAACTGGGAAACCTTTAAACCGAGCACGAAAAATGTGTCTCTGAAATTCGAAACCACACTTATAGAGTAAAAATTGTCGAGAGCCATTATCGACCAGAAGAAGAATTGTCTTGACTTCTTGGAAAAGAAGGTGGTATGGTTTCCCGTTTCCTTCTCCACGATTTATAATTCATTGTATTCCTTCTTCTAGATTGCTGAGCTAAAGTACTTAGTTTACCCTGCTATTTAACTCGTAGCCCCAGGTTAAAGTGACGTGTGGACAACTCAAAAAGCAATCCACCATTTTTTGTTCAATCAGACTCTTGTATCTATAAAGATTGCAGGAATCCATCACCTTCGGTAACGATTTAATGAACCGACCATTTTCTTTGATTTTTGTCGATGGATTGGGTATATGAGTTTCATTTGAGGCCTGGGGAGAACGTGAGTCCCAGTAGTCGTTCAAAGCAAGAGTCCTTACTGAGAGAGAAACCGTTCATTATAACTGGAAAAAATTCAAGTTTGATCCAGTGGTGGAGAAAAGATACGAACTTAGTTATAGTGGTATTGAAAGTTACAAGCAAGTTTTCCCCCTGTTAGAGCTATATCAGAGGATAGATCAGGTGCCAAATTCTGATCTTCTTGATTTATCGAGGTACTTCCATAAACAGTGATATCATCTACGCTGATATTTACTAATGATCTAAAAAATTTCTTGAGCAGATCATTAATAAAAAGCGGAAAGAGGGTAAACCGTGGAGAGGGACTAGTTGGGACGCCTGAAGTGATCTCATGGGTTTGAGAAGACTGGCAATTTTCTACGACATTCGCCCATGAAGGTCGTAGTAAATTGCCAGTCTACCTGAAGACTGTTCAAGATGCTGGAGCTGAAAAGTTTGTGTAGCAACACTCTGTATACAAAACCATGTTAAACTGTTATCGAACGCAGTCGTACTCGTGACGAAGCTACCATTAAGATCTTCCCACGTTCTGTGTATAATGACAAGATATCAGCAGTAGACCTAGTTAACGAGGTTGGTTCTGGTGAGGTGATCAACAATGCCTTTGTTAATAATAGACTCAAAGCATTTGCTGGTGACACTAAGGAGACTGATGGGGCAATACTGTTACATGGATGAGCGCTCATCAACATTTTTGAAAACAATAAGTCCCTAAAAATATGTTCTCAGTTTTATAGGCATCCTGAAAAAGAATTCAGAAAATTTCTAGGAACATGAATTTTTCATAGTCTTTTTTTATATTGAAATAATGTTGTGAAAATATATTTTACTTGGTGAAAGTTTCCTCGGAGACATTAAAATTTAAAAGAAAACCAAAATAACAGCTATTTACTTATAATAGTTTAGTTTAATCACGGAGACACAATATAGGTCACCCAGTGAGTATCAAACTACACTGCTTAGTGATATTTACTAACCCAATCCATGAATGTGTAACATGGCGCAAGGTCAGGTTTAACGTGTCGAGGATAAAATTTCCGATATAATTTGGTATTTCCTCTTGGGATAACTTAAGCGTTTCGGATGAAAGCTTCTATGCAATGAAGGGAGAGCTGTGAATGATAATATTAGAAACACGGAAACAATCGAGAAATGATCGTAGATCTTCGGCATACAAAGTACGGGTTTTAATACCTTCTCAATGAGACGGATAATGTGCACATTTAGACAGAAATATGACAAAACCTGTTTAACTTCTGAGGTCTTACCTTCTGGCAAGCCACAGTCATGATGAAACAGTCCCGTAGGTTGTTTAATGTACTTATAGATTCCTGAGGAATAATCCATCTAAATATTGAATAGATTCATCATGCTCAGCACTCCTTAAGTACGAAGATTTGAGGTAAACCGATGTGAACAATTACCCTGCTTTCCGTCTTCCGTTCCTTTATGTACAAAATATATTCAATTGAAATGATAAAATTGCATTCAAAATATTTAGATTCCGGCATTAAATAACCCACTGAGGCTGATATGCGTCTAAGCAAAATCAACAAATTAATGCAGCCATCTTTACAAAAATACGTCAATGAAACCTGATGTACAAAATTTATTTCTTACAAAGAACACATATTCTATTCATAAAAACCTGTCCTAAACATCTTGTCAGCATTACGTGACCCATTGAGGTGTCCATAAGCCGTAAAACAAAATGAACCAAATCAAGCAAAGATAAAGCAAGTATAACAATTTAAATATTTGGGAAGTACTTTTAAAAACGACGGAAAGTGCGACACCGAAATCCGAAGGCGCATTGGGATAGCGAAAGATGCCTACCAAAAGCTAAGCGATGTATTAAGAAACATAGAATTTCGTTAGAAACAAAGAAATGAATACTGGACAGTTACGTATTATCAATCCTCCTATACGGCTGTGAATGCTGGACAATCTCCTCGAAGACGAAGAGACTTGAAGCTGCAAATATGTGGTTCTACAGACGAATGCCGAGAATACCATGGACATGTGAGCAAAGTTTTAGAGAAAATGGCAAGAAAAAGTAAACTTATAGTTAACATGAGAAAGAGAGAGTTTAAATTTATAGCGGAAGTGACGATGAAAGAGGTTTTGGAAAACTTGACACTCAAAGAATATATTGAAGGCAAAAGGGAGAAAATAGTGCATAACCTACCTACCTAGCTTGTATAAATGGATGACAGAACATGGTTTAGGGGGATAAAAACAATTTAGTAAGAGCTAGAAAGAACAGGGAATTGTAGAGAGCTATGATTGCTGATATCCTGAAGGGACACGGCATATAGAGAAAAAAAAAACCTTTCAGAAGTAGTCGAGCTGGATTATCTACAGCTTTCGTCTCTTTATTATTTGTTAAGTCTAGAAAAAATATAATTATTTGAGAAGGAGAAAGATATTAGGATGATGCAGAATTTATACTGGTTGCAAATCGCCTGTATACGGTTTGATAAATGACTTCAATAAACACACAAATATAGAAAGGAATGTAATACAATAAAGGGTGTGCCTTCTCATCAGACCTATTTGTGACGTCGTCCCCCGGTCGCAGCGCTAAATGTGACGTTCTACCCTGATCTACCACGGCGCCAGTTGTGGCGTGGCCGTTCCAGGGTCCTATCCCGGTCACGACACCAGATGTGACGTCCCTAAACAGCACCAATTGTGACGTCTTCACCGCGGCACCAGCTGTTCGCTCCTCGCTGCTCCGTCCGGGTGTCGCTGCTCCAAACGTGACGTTCTAACCCTTTGGTGATTCGGGTAGGAATCTGGTTAGATTTGATATCAGCCTCGCCGTTCCCAACCTGCTTCCAACGCCTGGTTACCAAGGTAACTGCACTGATCTCCAGTCTGCCTACCCACGTTGTGAATTGATCTTAGACAGACGAGATCAAACAGGGGTTGGGGCCGTAATGCAAATTGAGTTCCACGGGGGTGATAACACACAAATATGCATAAAAGAAAAGAAAATGAAAACTCAAAAAGTTCAAAGTATCAAAGAAAAAGGTAACAAACTTTTTATGTCTAGTTGTTCGATACATAGGACTGCATCTACCTCCCGACCCGTTCTGTGGATTATGGCACGTCGCTTTCGCTAGGCAAGTTTTAATGCTTCAAGTTGTCTGCTCTCTAAGAAATTTGTGTTTCGGTGTGTCTTTGGACGAAAGTCGAAAAACTTATTTCTGTGGTCTGGTTTTAAGTCGCTCTTCAAAATAATTGTTCTTGGTTGAAGAGGAGTCCAACATTTTGCGTGAATCTTGGTCAGCTATCTTGAGGCGGCTTCAACACTGGGCACTCATCTCTGCCGTCCGGGACTGAATTAACTGTCTTCTGCCCGCCAGGGTCTGAACTATTGGGCACTCATCTCTACCCGCCTGGGTCGAACGAACTCGGCACTCAGGGCCAAAAGAACTGGCCTCTTCTGCCCGCCAGGGTCGAACGAACTGGGCACTCATCTCAGCTGTCAAGGCTCGAACTACTGGACACTCATCTCTTCTCTACCGCCAGGGTCGAACGAACTCTGCCCGCCAGAGTCCGACGAACTCGGCACTCAGGGCCAAACGAACTGATTTCTGTCTGTTGGGGCTTCGTTTTTATTGACGCCGTCAAAACCGGGGTGGGTCTGTTGGCGTCGGGGGTTCCTCGATAATTCTAAATACATATCCACCTCTTTTATTTCTGGTTAGGGATTTTCCACTCTTTTCCATTTTTGGTAACTTTTTTCTCACTCCCACTTTCTCACCATGCTTCTGAGGGGCGTGAACTGCCCTCCCCACTTCTTCGTAGCGGCACGTGACCACTCTCGGCCAATGAGGTCTTGGTCGGGTATCTTTCCTCCTCCTTCGTGCGTCGTGTGATCACCACTTGGCCAATGACGTCTTAGTCGGGCGTGAACAACCCGCGGCTTTGTTTTGGAAAAGAAATATACCTTGCTTAGCTAAAAAAAATTAATGATCTCTCCTCTTTTTTTTCTTTCTTTCAAATCGCCGTTATCATGAACGGATAATGTGACAACTCTTTGTTCAACACGTGGCGTTTGTCAAGCAGTTTATCGGTAATGCATTAGACGGCTGGATTTTCCGACATGGTCTAAGAAAGGAATTTTCTCCAAGTTCTCCGCCAGTCTGGCGTCTCCAAAGCAGAAATAAAAATATTTCATTTTCCTTCGGTCCATGTGTCTGATAACAAAATTTTATTATCGCAGAGCAAAAGTCTGTTTTGTCGAAAAAAAAATGTTAACCAGTGAAACTACTTGTGTGGGATTTTAATTTTCCATACCCAGCTAAGGCTTCAAGCTACACCTGTGTTTTGTCAATTATCAAAATCTAACGTTTTCAAGTGGACTTTCTTTGGTGACATCTCTTGATAACACAATTCTATTCGCACGGATAAGTGGAAATCGGTCAATGCTTGTTCGCAGGTGGCCTAGTTGTTCTCTCGTACGAATAGTTTAGATAACACCTCCCCACCTACTCAATCTCATTGTCATTGTAATGAAACTCTTTTCGACATTTGACACTTATCCAAAATAACCCTTTTTCTTTCTTATTTTTTTTTCTTAAGCCGTGTGTGTGTGTTCGCCTATGACCCGTCTCGCATTACTTTTTCCTTTTCCCTTTTTTTTTTTCTTTTTCTTTCTTTCAAATCGCCTGAATGCATGGTGCCACATATTCAACTTTTACCACGAGGTGATTCTGAATGAACTAGAAGTTATATCTGGATGCGTTTATTAGCGATTATAGTCTTACCAACATAAAATATGCAGATGACACGGTGTTGATAGCAGACATTGAAATAAAACTGTATAAACTCCCACAGAAGATAGTAAAGGAAAGTGAGAATGAAAGGACTAAAAATCAGTTGTGAGAAGACAGAACGGATGGTTGTTAGCAAAAGAAACAACCCCAAACGCTACCTATGAATTGAAGATATCAAACACAAGTGCAAAAATGTCATTATCTGGGGAAGATTTCAACAGAAAACAAAAGATTTAGCGCCGAAATCAAACTGCGCATTGAATAGCAAGAATTGTCGAGAATAAATATCTGAACTTTTTGGGAATGAAAATGGAATGGTTTCCAGTCTCCTTCTCCACGGTTTTTAATTCATAATATTTATTCTTCTAGACGGCTGCCACACAAAGCTAAAGATCCCATTTTATCGTGCTAATTAACCCATATGTGTGGGGAGCAAGTCTGAATTTATGTCTTACCCAACGGTATCAGTACGACAGTGAAAAAATTGTGTAGATGGGAATTTGATTCCGGGTCGCCGATTATGCTTTCAATGCAGACATCCGTCATACTACCAGCGCAAGTAAACAAATAATTTTAGCAACGACATATATTCAAATTTACCTTTAGTTTAAACTTTTGTAATTGTTCATAATCTCCTATGTATAACTGCGCAGGATCAACATTATGCATTTCCCAGGACAGAAGAGGCGGTCGTTTTCCTTTATATTACCCTGGCCATTCAAATTTCATTCGTGTTTTTGTTTTCTTGTTTGTTATTTTTTGCCATGTGAACGTTTATAAATCTCAAGTTGCTTTGAAATAAGATTGGACTGGAGGAACCGAAATATTGTTATTTTGAAGTTTGTTTATTTATTTATTTTTTTTAATTAAAATCGAATTTAAACTTTTTAAAATATATATACGTATATTTGTCTCCATTTCGATTCTGTAAGCATTTCTTCACCCTTCCACGGGGTGAAGAATGAGACGCAGACCCTTTATATTGGGCTAACGCTAAGCAGATAGTGGACGCAGCTCAAGCTGCTCCAACTTCTGGAATGCTATTTCAGGTCGTTTACTGGCCTCAATAATTAGGTCGTTTATAGAGTGACTAAAAATAATGTAATAAAATCGGTGTTTTTTGCGCAAAATTCATACGGAACAATTTACATGAAGTGTGTAGCCAATGACTCTCTATAAGCTGCCTGACTGAGAGGAGTTACGGATGCACACTGGTGCCGTTTGAGGTTGGATATAGAGGATTTGCTGCTGCTTCCTTAAAGAGATTCCTCAAATGGTATCCAAAAGCCGAATAAGTTGATAAAGACTTGGGGCAAGAAAGCGGTGGAAGGCAATGCATGGATTACCCAGAAATTCTTATCGAGTCGCGTCCAACTAACAACATAGACCGGTTGCAATGTAACATCATTCAGCTGTTGGGAGCCCACTATGTGTAGAGGTACTGAGCTTAATAAGTTGAAACTTTGCTGAAGCACAGCGCTCAGCTGAAGATTGCAGCTGATCTGAAGCAATTGATGTTTTCATCTGTTCAATACCTTTGCTTCTCCAGTGACGACCATGAAAGTGCGATGACGGCAGTGATAGGACTGCGGGGCGTGAGTTGCCTGCCCTGAGTTTTCGCGAGAAGCAGCGCTTATGTGTGATCGGGTTCTACAACAGTTCTTTATGGTCACTGAGGTCTGGTCTGGTATGTAGGGATGGTGGGTGAGTAACCTTTTGAAGTTCGCGCCCGTCTGAAATATGGCACACCCTGACCAGTATGTAAGCTTCCAACCCATCCGTGGATCAGGTAGAGTCGCCTGTTTCGTGTCGGGTGTAAAACCACGCCACTTGATACAATTGCAATGGGCTTTAAAATGGACAGACAATCTGGTAATGACAGTTGTGTGAGACAGAGGGGATGTGATGCCTGGACGTCTTCAAATCAGCGAAGGATCGCAAGATACACCAAACCAAGATGAAATGTGGCGGTTATTCAGTGGCAAAGAAGCGCATAAGACGTCGGAGTGTCGGGACCAGGATGAACACTACATTGTCCTACAGGATACTTTTTTCGATGCTGAATCTAGTCGCCAAATTATCAAGTAGCCTTCCTCTGTGGATAGGGCCTGATCAGAGATGGATGAAGACTTATCAGCAGCTATCCATACACTCAGGTGTGGTCCAGGAAGGAAAGTCCGCTAGATTGGGGACATCATCAGTGATTATGGGGTAACTAGGTTTGGACTGAAGGAAATGAAAGCTAAGTCCTTAGCTCCAGTGCAAGTAAGTCGACAGCGGAGAACCATCCGGTCATTGGGGAAAGAGATGCGAAGGTTACGAGCAGCAATGCGTGCTGATGAGCTGAGGTGCAGAGGAAATCAAACCAATCCTGAATGACATAAGGAAGTACATTAGCAAGTTAAGTAGAGCAGAACGGCTTGCCAAAAAGAGACAGATAGCTGCTAGGGCTCAGAAGTCATTCACGGAAAGCCCTTTCCGCTAAAGGAAGCAGTTGTTTAGGGAGAACACTAGCGGAGCGTTGAACAGCAGGAGCTGGAGAGACATCTTTTAAGCACGTACTCTGATGCCAGCAAGGAGGTCCCAGCGGAGGTGGTACCAGGTTTATTCAGGCCTGGCGTTTCGGAAGTAGCCTTTGATGAGTCTCTGGTGACTTGGATGGAAGTCCAAGTAGTTATACAGTAGTCGAAAGCGTGTTCTGCGGATGGTCCCAATGGTGTGACATATGCTGTCTACAAGATGTGTACCGGGCTGCTGAGGTGTTTGGGGAAGATTTGAGATATTGGTGATGTTCCGGAATGTTGGTTTCGAGCTGATGGTGTGTATATACCGAAGGGGGAGAATTTGTTGACACTTAGTTTCGCCCAATTTCTCTCGTGAACGTTGAAGAAAAGGTATTCTTTAAGGTGTTTGCCAGGAGGCTGACGGGCTACCTGCTTGGGAATAACTATATAGACAATAATATTCAAAAGGCGGGTTTCCCGGGATTTCCGAGGTGCTTGGATCATGTGTCAATGATTTGGGCAAAGACCGCGAGGCTAAAACTGCAAGGAAGAATATTCCCGTCATCTGGCTGGATATTGCTAATGCGTACGGTTCAGTTCCTCATCACATGATACAGCTGGTGTTGGAGTTTTACGTTCCGTAGAGACTCAGAGATTGTCTGAGTATGTATTTCAATCAGTTCATGCTGCGTTTTTCAACGAGGAAGTACGCCACGAGGTATGTGGAGCTGCAGAGGGAAATTGCTATGGGATGTACCATCTCTCCAGTACTGTTTGTGATTATTGATGGAGGTGATCCTGAGAGGTCTGAAGCCAAAGTACCGCTTCCTGCAGAATGAGATCAAAATCCGAGTATTTATGGATTATTTAACAATAATTCATGATGGTAGTAAAGTAGCACTGTTGGTTCTCGATAAACTTGCAGAGTTGGTACAGTGGAGTCAGATAGACTTCAAACAAAAAAGCACAGGTCACTGTCTATGAAGGCAGGTTCTGTCATACATGAAGTGTTTTCCATCGAAGGTGAAAAGATTCCAAGTGTGGGAGTAAGGTGTGAAGAGTCTTGGGAGGTGGTATAACGGTAGATCGTCACCATGGTGTTGAAATCCAGCCACAACCGAAGATGGCTGTACGAAGCATAGACCAATGTAGGCTTCCCGGAAAATTTAAAGTTTGGTGTATGCATTTTGCGTT